TTCACAGCGTTTTGGCCAACCAAATTTCTTCGGTCCACTTTGCCCCGGGTTCCCCTATATATGGGTATTTAGGATATCTATTGAGTAGACGGGCATAGATCCCTTCTCTCCATCGAGTTTTCCATCTTCGAGTGCAATATTTAGATGATTTGTGTCGAATGGCTGTAGCACGAATACAGCTATTAGCCTCATATAGTCACGTTACTTACATGCAAACACCGCATGTGTCCGAAGCGAAATACGATCGAAATATTTTTCCGTGGCTGCCTTGCTTGTTTCCTATACATCGCAGCCTCTTTTTTGTATCTAGCTGTACCTACTGCATTAAAACGTGTTACATTTGATGCTTTATAGTATCGTCGATTGCAACATATACGATTTGCAAGAATCCTTCTCACGCGCCATATTTTCGATGCCCCAATTTCCCAACGCTGAACTTTGAGATGGGGGGAATAGCTATTAATTTCCGGATTTTGCTATCTTTCAAAATCCGAGACAGTCTTACTAAGCAGGAGTTACATCGAATTTGATAATATAGTAACTTGTGCACAGAACCCAACGACGCTTAGACTAGTGACAAGGTAGTCACCGGTGTTATAAAAATGGCGACTATATTTACCGCGTACGCTGCTGTTGCAATCATTGGCCTCTTTGCTAATAACGCTATTATGCTGATGCTGCTGGCTATAATGTAAATAATATACTATCAGGGATTAATAATGACAAATTTGTCATTATTTACCCCTGATACTATGCTATAATGTACTATGCTGATAATATAAATGGTCACAATCAGCTCCGCCAGGAATATACTCAACAGACCGGATCTTGCGCCCAGTGGGCGTGCGCGGTCCATTGAAGCCAACGAACAGGACACCGTATTGCGTATACGCTTATAGCAGGCAGATCTACTGCGGTTATTTACTAAGCCGTAGAACATAATATACGTTATAACCAGGATGTAGGGAACATTTGTTCCCTTGCTGCCCACGGTTGTTTACACACACACACACACACACACACACACACACACACACACACACACACACACAACACACACACACACACACACACACACACACACACACACACACACACATACACACACAGGTGGGCTTTTACCACTGTTATGGCCTATAGTGCATCGTGGCTCCTCAGAATTACGCCACGGATTTACATCCTGTTGTGGCATCATCACGCTATAATCGCGTTTAGCCCCCGGATTCTTGCGTATTCTCATGCATGCTTGACAATTCGAAACAAGAAAAAATCCACAGACGCTGCGGCTTAAATGATCAAGTTAATGCGGATTATGGTGATTTAACATCAACTATTGTTGTTTTCAGTTAACGTGCGCATTACGCACACTAATTAATCCGTAGCGTACCTACAAGTAATTAGTAATCAGAGGAAATCATATAATATCACGGTCGCCGATTATATCGTAAAACGAAAACAACTTTGCGAAAAGGGCATCAGGACTACGTCATCACTGCAATCACAGGTGATCAAAGCATCGGGATGACAAGCAATGGCCGCTGAAAGTGAATGCCGACAAAGAAACGCACGTCGAAAATTGCGATCACATATTAAAGAAATTACGCTTATCGTTCTGTTAATATTAATATCAAACAGTAAAAAAATGGATCGTATAGCATAAAAAAACCATAATTCGACGAAATGCTAACACTAGAAGCGGCGGCATGCGTACTATAGCGCTACCCTAAATAATCATCGGTCACGCTGAACTGTCATCGAAACAAGCCGTGTGCTGTGTGGAAAGCTAATATCGTTTGTGTGAATTAGGGGAAATGCTCGCGCAGCCTCGCATGATGGCCGAGCGCCACGGATGAGAGATTATCATCACCGCGACCCTAATAGATTTGCAGTGCAATTTCGTTATAGCGCAAACACGCCGCCTGACAAGTGCTGACGCAAAACTCGTGCCGCGTGCATGCGACCGCGTATTCTGCACTGTAAACTCCGCTGTTGTCATAGTAACGTCGCTCGCTGATGAGCACTGTGTCAATGCGCGCTGCGTAATTGTTTCTTGAAATTTAGTTTCGAAATGCATTTCACTCTCCATTGCACCTCGTTGCTGTTTTTGGAGTTATGGCATTTACCCATACGTGTATCGGCCACCATGTGACTAAAATTCCGAACGAATTCTCACTTTATTATATTTTAACAGATGCATCGGCTATCGCAGGCGAGGTGGGCCACAAATGGTATTTAGTGACTATCATTTATTCCATTTAGTAACAGTCATTAAATTAACCAATCAGATACAACTTATTTTTTCTCAGCCAATCATAGGCATGGAATTACTGACAAACACTAAATGATTTAATGATAGACAGTAAATGATTTAGTGTAAGACACTAAATGATTTAGTGACAGTCACTAAATACTATTTGTGTCCCAACTCGCCTGCTATAATCGGTCACCATGTAACTAACAATCCAGAATTCTCACTTTATTATATTTTAACAGATGCGCACGCGTACTGATATTGCACGCCTGTGTATAAAGTCACCGTAAATTATCCCTCCGACGTTTTTAGTAAATTCACGCATTAAATGATTGAATTACTGCATGAAAACAACAGATGTTGCTGTTGTTGCGGATATGAAACTTGCAGGAGATATATAGCTGCGTTATAGCTGCTTGCTTATACGAGAGCGGTGTGCGTGCGTGCGTGTGCGCGCGCGCGCGCGCGTGTGTGTGTGTGTGTGTGCGTGTGTGTGTATGTGCGTACGTGCGTGTGTGCGTGTGTGTGTGTGTGTGTGCGTGTGTGTGTGTGTGCGCGTGCGTGCGTGCGTGTGTGTGTGTGTACGTGCGTAGTTAATCGCCGTCATTGTTTTAAATCTGCTTCAGGTTTATGATGGTTATCACCTGTCTCATATTCAGCGTTCTCTCAACCATTGAACAGTACCGCAGCTTTGCCAATGAAACTCTCTTCTGGATGGTACGTAACCGCGTTGGTAGAATTACATTTGCAATGTATACCTTGCGTATTCATATCACCAGAGTGTATAGTATAGATCTATTGAGATAATCTATAGTATACACTCCTGATATCACCATGTATCTGTCTGGATTTTTTTACTGAAATTTAAAACTGAATTTCTGAAATTCCCTGAGCCAGACAAATGACGGATACAGTAAGTATGGCAAGCCCCGTGATTCTATACTCTGGCTCTCCGGGGTCATTTGAGCGCGGTTTCGCCTAGCAATGCCATACAGTGTCGAGCTCGTACCTTCTTCGATGTGTTGTTAGTCACAGGCACTTGAAGCGTTTCAATAAAATATATACGCAGGGGTCGTGTGCTGTGCACGGCAACAGTTAAATATATAGTTAAATATATAGTTAAATATATAGTTAAATATATAGTTAAATATATAGTTAAATATATAGTTAAATATACAGTTAAATATATATGATATATACAGTTAAATATATATGATATATATATATAACTGTCGCCGTGCACAGCACACGACCCCTGCGTATATATTTTATTAAAACGCTTCAAGTGCCTGTGTTGTTAGTAGCTATAGTTACAAATACATCCTCCCACTAAGGTGTGGGCAGTCATTCTTAGGGAAGTGCCAATTAAGTGCACGGTTTTTTGTTTATTAAACCACACAACGTGTACGAATGTGACTAGCTTCTCCTCTACGCGAATTACTTTCATTTCTATATCCTACAAACCGTATATTCCTAGCAAACCTTTGCCATAGAACTAGAGCACTCAAAGGCTCGAAACACCTGCTATATATAGTAGCAGGAGTAAGATAATATAGGATCTTACTATATTATCTATACTCCTATATTATCTATACTCCTATATTATCTATACTCCTATATTATCTTACTCCTGATAGTAGCACTAAACAAGAATCAACACCGTATGGTCGATCATTCAGCTCCCTGCTTAGATGCAGCGATGCTAGTCATTTCGTACGAGTGTAGAGTCATGGACGTTTGTTTTTATCGATAGGAGATTGTGCTGGTGTCCTTCTTCGGTGCGGAATACGTGACAAGGTTATGGGCTGCTGGCTGCCGCAGCAAGTACATGCATCTAAGAGGCAGGCTGAAATTCGCATGGCGTCCGATATGTATTATAGGTGAGCATGCAGCGAAAGCTTTGTAGAATTCAGCCTGAGTGTGTGTGTGTGTGTGTAAGTGTGTGTGTTCGTGCGCGTGTGCGTGTTGTGTGCGTGCGTGTGTGCGTGCGTGCGTACGCGCGTGTATGTGTGTGTGTGTGTGTGTGTGTGTGTGTGTGTGTGTGTGTGTGTGTGTGTGTGTGT